CGACTGACTGCACACGCTGATTGGGGAAGGAACGAGCAAGAGAGAGGAAGCTGAGAAGGGAAGGTGCGAGTGACATCAGGGCCGGGAGCTGATGTCATGATGAACTGAACAAACCCGAAAATGGTTGCATTTCTTGCTTCTTCCGGGGGTGCCTGGCAGCTCTTGTCATTGACTTTTGACTTCTCTTGCAGTTCTTCATTCAGCCTTATTCCATGGATCCAGCACTTGACTAGTGGGATGATGAACTTTAATTACTATCTACCCCCTACAACATGAGTACAGAACAAGTTTGACGAACATTATTTCCACGATGGATGGTCAGGCACTCATACACTCATGCACTGCCTGGTACAACATCCATTATGCATCCACCTCTCTCCACTCGCTAGCTGTCTAGTCTAGACTTCGCGCAACACAGCACCAGGTCTGGGTCTGTGTAACAGCTAGACCCGTAGCCTTCAGATCCAGTCCCGCCTAATCACTCTTAGTGTTGAAACTAAGTGCTATAGCCATTGTTATAACTGGTGGTCCGGGTGAATTGCGCGCGGACCCGGGTCATGTCATCATGGCAGTGCCTGCCTTGCTCGTGCCATTCGCTATACCCCAGGGTTGATAATATCGCAGGGCTCATTAAAGATGCACGTCCCCCCCGCAGCCCAAGGGATTAAGTATTGTTGAAGTTATCTAAACTAGTCTCGAGTCATTCGTTTACGAACCCCTCTTTCTCACCCTCTTCCCCCCTCCTCCTCCTCCCTCACCTTCGCAGCTCGTATTCCTCATCCTCCTATTCCTGTCCCCAATAAATATAGCTAGTAGCCTCACGGGCTCCAGTTGTATACCTACATTTGATTACTACCTCCACCACAACATAAACAAACAGATAACCCACACGAACCACCACCACCACCGCAACCATGTTCTGGTTCTCATCCCACCAACAACAACAGCAACAACAGACTCCTCTCCTCCCACCCCTACCCACTTCGAAATCCAAAATCCGTAGAACCCTCAAAGCCCCCGGCCGTCCCATCGCCATCCGCAAAGACCAAATCACCGACACCAAAACCCTTCTAATCGTGCGTCCCCAAGGCGACGCCCAATCCGCCGTGGCATACAAAATCCAAGATGCCGACGGCATAACGCTCTACACCGCTACGGGGCGCAAATTCAGCGACCGACCCTGTCGCGAGTTTCGTGATGCCTCGGGACTTCCGCTCTTTGAACTACACCGCAAGACCTCTTTCAAGAACAACTGGTCCGTCACCTTACCCGGCAGCAACCCAGCCAGTCCGATAGCCAAAGGTGCTCTGCAGCGCTCATCCTTCAGCGCCGCTGGCTGGGGGAACTGCAACTTCACCATCACATTCGACAATGTAGCTGCGGCGGACGGGAAGCAGCCTGAGGAGCGTACCCTGACGTTGGAGGTACAACGGCATGGGAATGTGTTGGCGCTGTTTGATATCGTGGATGGGGATCGTAAGATCGCTGAGGTGAAGGAGAGTATTCGCCATAATGAGAAGTTGGCGCTTATGCCTGCGTCTCGGCTTGGGTATCGCCCTGTTCTGGATGTCATTGTTACTCCCGGGGTAGATATGGCTTTGGTGAGTTTTCATCTTATTCTTTTCACGGAGTATATTTACTGCATACAATATATCATACTTTCTACAGGATTATGTCTAACCATCTCGCGGTTCTTTAGATTGCAACGATTGCGGTCATCGCATCAGACACAGTGTTTGCTTCGAATTATTGATTGCGCGCGTTATTGAATTGTAGATATGTCGGAACGCCATTATGGTAACCATGAGATTATGAACATGATGACTCTCTTTCTGTCTTTTTTTTTCCCCTCTTCTATTCGATTTTTATTTATCACTCTATTTTCTCATCGTTCTATTGTGGTCTTTTTCATCGGTTGTGGGTACTTGAGTGGCTCGCTGGGCTGCGTTGAACCGCGGTTGACAGATTCCAGGCGTTTGGATGGTTTCCGGAGCTTCCCCCAATGCTACCTAACTCTACCACTTCGTCAGTGGACCCATACTTGGGTTCACAGTGGTTCTACTTGCTTGGCTCATTCAATTCTGTCTAAAGCTGTCACGCGGATCAGTCCTTCCAGCGTCGGGAGTCTTCGGGTTTTGTTTACTTTACTTTTCTTTTTTTTTTATTCTTTTGCTTTTTCATTTCTAATCTTGGAGTCGAGCTAAAATGTATATAGTTGCGATCGCTGAAAGTTTTCGTCAAATCCAGTGAGGGGTATTCTTAACTAGGAAAAAGCAAATAATCAAAGATCATCACCCGTAGATCGTGTGCCTTCACCGCAAGTGCAGCAATTTCAGAATATCATGGCGGCTGAAGAATGAGCGATTCCATTTCCCGAAGATATCTAGAGACAATATTAGTCCATCCCCGGGCGACTAGAAGTAATAGCAAGAAACACCTACACATCGGAATGCTCAAGGCACAGACTCCCATTTGGATGCTTGAGATGGCCAGGAAAGCCGGCCTGATACCGTTCTGCAACAGCCAGTCATAGGCATAGAACGTCAACACAAAGCTGAACATGTTTTTGAAGACTAGCATGCATGTAAAAGACTCGACCGCAATCTCGCCTGTTGTCAAACGTCAACATTAGTCCTTGATATAATTTGCCGCATCTCACGGCTATACTTACGATGTGCATCGACAATGTACAGCGCACTGGCGACAGCCCCCATCACCATGCCTATGATGACTAGAGCAAAGAATACGTCCGCCACAAGCCATCCGTATCGAGCGACATCCTCCGCGATGATACCAAACCCATACAGCCCGGCGCCGCAGAAGATCAACTGGAAGATAACGAGGAGGATGCGGAACTCCGGCTCGTACTTCCCTCGGTTGAGTTTGATCATGATGCGGTTCATCGAATCGGAGAGAAGTCCCGATAGGATCAGACCCAGGATAGAACCAATGAAGGCCCCGGTGTACAGGTACCCGGTTTGCACCTCGTTGAACCATAGGGGAGGGCCGAGGAAGATGGCGGCTAGGACGACACCGATGAATACGGTCCATCCGATGATTACGCCTTGGATCAAACAGGCCTATGGATGATGATTAGAACGTGGCTTGGTGATGTTTTCAGCTGCATGGCTTACCCATAGGATCGCGGGGTGGAAGAATAGCGGAAAGGGCCGTAGAAGGAGCTTGAAGAAGCTCTCATCGGTTTTGCGTCCATTGAAAGGTCTGAGGGTTTGGAAGTAGGACACCTTGGCGGGCGTTTTTGGTTCGGTCTTCCGAGGCAGCTCTTGAGAGGACGTATGCCGGTGAGGCTCGACTGCGGATGAGGTCTGCTTTTGATCGTCTGGTCCTGGAGTATCCTCCGATGTTGTGAGGTTATTGAGCTGAACTTCCGAGGCGGAGCGATCGTTGGCATATTCAAAGTCGGCGTTCAAGTAGTCTGGCCGCCTGAAAGCTGTCTCGGGGACGAAGAAGAATGTAAGAGGCAGTGCTGCTGCCGCGAAAATTGCTACCAAGTAAAAGGTCCAGTCCCAACCAAGGGTATGTGTGATCTTGCCCGCCAGTACTGGAGTTAGAAAGGCGGCACCAAAAAGAGCAACGTTGGACAGTGCCATTCTTTTGCCCCGTTCCTGTGTGCCTGCTCAGCATGTGCTTGTAAGCTCCGCAAGATGCTGTTTATACTCACGTGCACGTAGAACAAGTCCCCGACACATGCATTGACCAGAGCTTCGAAGGGAGCTAGAGCAATCCCCTGGAATATACGAGCCCATAACAGGCTTTGATAGTTGTGTTTACTGCCCCCAGCCCAGGCACAGCTCACCACCATCAACGCATTCCCAAGCAGAAAGAGATGACGCTTTCCCCATACTCGCGCTGTAGGTACAATTAAAATCCCAGCCACTCCAACACCACAGAGATGGTACCCGGTGAGTAGCGCCACTGAAGTGAAGCTCTTTCCATAGTAGAGAGCAATGGTTACAGTGTTAGCAGCCATCAGCGAGCTGGTCGTTGCGCAAAGCACCGCTACAAAGGACAGAGCCAGAAGCGTGACATCGCGCCTCCAAAGTGGCCAGTTCTTGTGTTTCGAGTCTGTCAGCTATTGTTCATGTAACTAGTAGCTCCTCAAGAGTGACTTCAACACACCAATGGATCATTGGGATCATCGCTTGGCTGAGGGACAAGTAGGATGGGTACAGAGCCCGACCGATCATATTTTAGATTCGAGTCAATGACCGGTTCGTTGTTGGGGTGCTCTCGCTCGAGAATGTCCGTGGTTCCTATGCAGAAGCTGTGTTCAGTGTATTTGCAGAGACAAGCATAGTTGTGCACGGGATGGCTCCTACCTGGTACATGAGCGCGCGTGGTATCCAACACGCCAAGCCCCATAATTTTTAGATTTGTAGCCAGGCAGATACTGTAAAAATTGAAAGTCAGAAGCCCCCGGATAGGGTTGAATAAACCGAAAGAAAGCACAAGGAGGCCAATTCTTGATGGGGGTTTTGGACGCCTAGACTCCTCCGACTGGGAACTCAGGAAGACGGGATCAAGGTTCCACGAGGATCACGCGGGGAAGCCGAGATGCACGGCGTTCACAATTGAATTCTCCCTAGACGAGGGAATACAGTTTGCGGGGAGTTTCTGCCTTCCAGAAAATCGTAAAGGATGGGTGCCCCGAACGGACATTCTCGTTCTGCAAGGGCGGCGGTAGTAGCATGATTAATTCCAACCCAAGTGGGTGTATACGACTAGAGGCCAAATCATAGGACGCGGATCAGTAATTTTCTAATGATTTTACTGCTGGCTATCAAACAGCTACTCTGTTTCTAACGGGGGCGGCCAGGCCCAAAATTGGATCGTGAACACCAGCCATCTTACCACCTTTCTGAAAGTACGTGTCTTGGAGTTTGTCGATCGAATGAGGTAGTGTAACTCAAAGGGATGGCTCATTTATCAGACACGGCAAATCTACCATACTTAATAACTCATACCATTCAAGTGTACTCCGTAATACTATCTCATTGGACATCGAGGTGATACATGAAGAGACGCTAGCACATCTTTCAAAGTCCTTGGAGGTCGAATCCAAGTCTTCGCCGTGCAAGATGTACGCTGAGAGAAACTTTATATTGGCTAAGCGCCACAGAATTCCTCCGCAGTGATCGGCCATGCTCACAGAAGTTACCGATAGCAACGTCCCCCTCTTCGGCTGCTCATGCATGCATGCATGCATAATTCGAGGCTGCGACCAAATGGAGAGACATTCATGAAATGAATGTCTCAAGGCCTGATGCTTTTACGATCTGCAAAGCAAGGGATACTGAACAGGGCCAGAAGATCCTTAAAAGGGTCTTTGAAAGCTTGACGAGTGAAGCTGAAAAAGGGTCCACCTACACAGTAGGTAGTAACCCTGGCTGGAAGATCAACAACGGGCTCGGGGGATCTTCATTTACGATTGGACCATCTGTGCCATCTGCTAGACGATTTAACTTCCTAGTGGCGGCCAGGGTGGACTCCTCCCCTCCTGGAGGTGGCTCGTTCGTACAGGACTTCAGACAGATGGGTGAATATTTCATTATCTGTCCAACTTCACTGGTTGCTTCATTGCACTGGCATGCATAACTACATTCCTCGGGGGTTCCGACGACGAGCTCATGAGCCTTGTCTTCGTCCCCAATTGGCCACCTCCCTGTTTCTTGACTGCCAGTCAATGGCATGGGGGGCAAGCTCATGGCGTTGTCATTATGTATAACAAGCGGATTGCCTATCCGCCATCGGAGCAAAACCCACCAGGGATACTTTCTGGGGCCCGCTTAGGTACAACCTTATATTTTTGTGTATTGGCGGTGCCATATACGTAGCGAGATAGCCCTTGGTTTTATTCTCGGTCTCCTAGTTATCTCATGTAAGTATGACTATAATTGTCTTCCCTACGATTGATTAATTAAGAGCTTCGTTCTCCCGTGGACATGTTCCATAGATATAGATAGCGTAGCAGTAACTGGTATTAATTCTAGCTAGAGTCTCCAAGGCAAGGAGCTTCAAATACACAAACTCATACTAAGACCTCTTGGCCATGGACTCACTTCTGGAGTGCTTTCCAAGCGAGGAAGTGAGCTGAAATCTGTTGGCTCGACCCCAGTCGTTCTTTCTTCACTTGATTCATGTGTCACATTCCCTCCACTTCCACCACTTCTTCTACTTTTTCTACTTCCTCTTGTTTCTCTTCTTCCTCCTCCCCTTCTTCTTCATCCACTTCATTCTCCTCTCGCCATCTTTTGAAAACTCCAGTCGTCTTTCCATCCACCAACATCTCTCTATCTCAATTTACACCCTGCTAGCAAATCTCGAAAGGCATCATGAAGCTCTACCACGTTACCTTAACCCTCTTCGCTGGCCTAGGCTTGGTAGTTGGCCAGGGGATGGACAGTCTTCCACCCTGCGCGGTAAGGCTTTGTTACGGCAACTTGTCTGCTCAAGTATTGCTCGTTATATATAGCTGACCCGATTATAGAGAGACTGCGCCACCGGTTCTATCCCCAAAACTTGCAAGGCTATTGATGTGAACTGCATCTGCTCTGACAAGTCCTTCATCACTGGTATTTCATGCTGCGTTGCTTCGACCTGCTCTGCGGAGGACCAGACCTGTATGTCGAATCTCCCTTTCCCAATACCAAACCCCCCTTTTCTTGGCCGCGTGATACATGACATCAGCTCGGCTTTAATGGCAGCTTCTAATGGATTAATCGTGTTCCAGCTGCCCTCAATTTTGCACAGCAGATCTGCGGTGGCGCCGGCGTAACTGATCTCCCCAAGAGCGCTAGTTGCACGAGTGGGAACACCGCGAGTGCTACTTTGCAAACCACGGGCACAACTACTGGTGCTTCTGCGACTACTACCTCGACTGGTGCAGCTAACGGAACCCGTCTCGACTCATCCAGCTCTGCCAGCGCGGCAAATGCTACCAAAACGGGAAGCAACACTCAGTCCGTGAAGACGCAGGGCGCTACTGCAACTGATAAAAATGCCGCAAGTAATGCGACTGCTAGCAGTGCGGCTGGTATGATCTTGGGAGATAGCAGTGCTGGCCTTGCTGCAATCCTCGGGGCAGCCTTCTATGCCTTGCTTCTTTAGAGGGCACCGGATAACGTGTCGCCTGATGGTGCTACGAGTGATGATCATTGAGACCAAAAGTGGTTCTGTCCTATCTTCAGGGCTGCAGAATAACATCCTACAAATAATCTCCTTTCATGAAGATCAATGCTGGCTAAATTGAACTGGACCAGCGCAGTTAACTGTAATATGCTTGTTAATTGTATGATAGGATCGGAATCAAGATCGGCGTCTTTTGCTGCAGGAATTGCTGTAGTGCCTACAAATAGAGGTGCATAGTAGTGCGAGGGTCACGCCGACGGCGTGCATTTGGCTACCGGTCCTGTTCCACGAACCGGTTAGCTGCTTCCTGTCGCTCTTCCCTAAGGGTTAGGAGAATCTATCAGTTGTCAGCAAACCATGACCCTGGCGTACCCACCAGATTTTCTCTGGGGGAGCAAGCGTGGGGAGGGGAAATTTACCCATAACCAAAACATCATTTCCATAAAGCCATATGTGAACACCACCCTATTTTTCAGTTGATCCAGACCCGACGTAGCGGCACCGGCTGTGCCGTAGTTTCCCATAACTGTAGCGGTATCCATCCCCCACGCCGATGGTTGACTCTGGTAGATGAAGAAGGAAACGGCAAAGAAGATACAGAAACGAGAGGCGGAAAGGAGGGTCCAGATCTCCGTGTAGAGCGAGGCCAAGCGCGCCATGAAAGGGTTGGTGCGCACAGCCCCTGCCACCGGTATAGGGGATTGCACTCTGGCGGCTTGGGCCATGGCCAGGATCTCGTTAATCTGCGGGACCTTGGTCACAAGGATAAGATCGACCAGGGCATCGACGACGAGGAGGACACCACATAGGGCGAAAGGGGATTGAGGTCGGGAGATACTAGGGGTCGCCTCCTAGATTGATTGAATGAAGTGTTCAGCTAAAGCGACGGGGTAGCACAAGGGGCGAATGAACAAGTGACCATAAACATACCAAATTCAAGAATTCCCCAAGCATGAAGACGAGGTCAGACTCGGTCACGACCTCTGGCGACCTGGTCAGGTACACGGCCAGCACAAACAGGAACAGGGCATGTGCCTGGATCAAGGTCTTGGAGGAAAGGAGAGCCATGCTGAAATGATTGAATGGCTGTAACGGGCGGCCAGCTAGTAGTTTCTTGTGCAACGCATGCACTAATGTATCATGGCCAGGTTGCAGAGAGAGATTCCGGGAGGGTTGAGCTCTGCAGCTGTTTCAATTGTGGATAACAAGAAACATTGTTCGACCGATGGGATTTGAGTTGGGGAACGAGACTTGGATTTCCCCCGGCGGCCGAGTGGGGCTGGACTTTTGGCAGCCTCTCCGATCGAGATGGAGAATAGCAGGCCGGGAATGCGCCAGACCAACAGTTAGCGAAAAACCCCTCCTCTCAAAGAAAAGCAATCTGTCGGCTCATTCGGAGGAGGCTACTGCCCCCCCTTTTGCCTGGTGCACACTCTTTACACCTCTATACTAACCTAGACTATATGGCCAGAGCTCCGCACGGGAGAAGCTGATATTATTATCGCCGGCACTGACATCATGACCGACGTCCCAGTTACCTTTACCAAAGAACGACACATCAAGTATTTCCTACGATGTCTCAAGACCTTTCTTCCCAGCTTATACACTTCCAATGACTCCAATCGCATGCTTCTCGCCTTTTTCACCGTCGCCGGCTTAGACCTCCTCGGCGTCTTGCAGAGCAAAACCACCCCCGAAGAGCGGCAAGGCTACATCGACTGGATCTACCACTGCCAGGTTCCCACGGGCGGATTTCGAGCCTTCACTGGAACGGATTTTGGCGCGGAGCATCGAACATCGGAGAATGAAGCCTGGGATCCAGCGAATGTACCCTCGACCTTCTTTGCGCTGGAGCTCCTCGTCATCCTGGGCGATGATTTATCGCGAGTGAAGCGGAGGGAGTGCTTACAATGGTTGCCGCGCATGCAGCGTGATAATGGAAGTTTCGGAGAGGTGCTCGGTCCGGGAGGGAAGATTGAAGGTGGTGGTGACTTACGCTTTTGCTGCTTTGCAGCAGGCACCCGGTATATCCTGCGGGGGAATGGCGGGGAAGATGTGGACGGAATCAAAGACATTGATGTGGACAAGCTGGCCGCATTTGTTCAGGCTTGTCAGGTAAGTGATCTGCATCTTTTCACTCCGTATCCTCTGACACATGACATTGGCTGAGATGCATTTGACTAGGCATATGATGGCGGCATGGGGGAGGCGCCTTTTTGTGAAGCGCATTGTACGTTCTATTCGAATATCCCACTCTGCTTAATGTTGGGCCCCTTAATGGTTACAGAATGCCAGCTTACTCGTATACACCCGCAGCCGGTCATACGTATTGCGCAATGGGCGCCTTGACCTTTTTAAGTCGTATGGCCAAGGATCAGAAGCCACCGCCAGTCCTTTCGCCAGGTGCGAACGAATTTGAGTCCTTGGTTCGTTGGCTCGTTGCCAGACAAACGACAGAGCTCGGCGACATAGAAGAGGACTCGGATGACGACAACAGCCCTGAGGTCAATGAGGTTCCGAGACCCGTACCGGAGGCCGTTGTGGAAGTCAGCTTAGATGAGAGTCTCGATAAGCTCCCTATTATATCGCCACCAACGGAACAGGATCTACGATGTGCAGGCTTCAATGGACGATGTAACAAGTTTGCTGACACGTGCTACTCATTCTGGAACCTGGCCACATTAGATGTAAGCAATCACAATTTGTGTGATCGAGTGGCATTGCTGATTCGGTCGTTGGTGGGCAGATGATGAATAGGTTAGATCTTGTGGACGCGAGTCGGAATCGGCAATATCTCCTCGGAAAAACGCAGCATATCATCGGCGGGTTTGGAAAGGGTGTGGGCGAACCACCAGGTTGGTACATTTTGGAGGAGGGTCATGATTTTCTAGAAATCCCCTCGCTAACTGGCACTTGCAGATCTTCTACACTCCTACTTTGGGATGGTCGCCCTCGCGTTTCAGGGAGAAGAAGGGCTAGATAGTGTTGACCCAGCGCTGTGTATGAGCCATCGGGCCGTGCAGCAACTACAGTCTCTCCCTTGGTGGAAAGAAGGGATCTGAAGTGATGGGTTATTGAATAGAGTCGGAAGCTTGGGGCCTCGGGTCTTGGTGAGATGGAATTGTCAATGTCATATACCCCAACCATGCTAAATGAATCGATTGATATATATACTATACAGCAATGAGCCAACGGTAAGGTACTGTGTATCTTCTAGCCTTTACTATGTAGATAAGGTGACCCTTCATAACGGGTAGTAATTTTAACCTATAGATGTAGTATGTTGCAGATGTGTTGCAGATTGTGATGCAGTCATCGTATGATGCGATAACTAATTTTCAGTATTTTCATGACAACTTTTTCATCGTCTGGAGTGACAGCCCCGTGAAACAAAATGGACAATCCATACCAGAAGCGTGAGCAGGGGGCGTTCACTAGAGGAAACTAGGGAGGCATGTCATTAACGAAGACCCTATCAGAGCATCAAGTGTCGACTTATTTTGCCCTGTCAAAGTAATCAGGGGGTCGGATTTGCCGGGAGTTAATTAGGGACAGGTTGACCAGAAGCGATGACGATGTTGGAAAACGGCTGTTAGGTAATCTCAGGGGCTGCTGGCTGACTAGACTATGAATGATGCTAGTAACTTAACATAGTAGTTATGATGTTATGATCCACACACAATATCTACTGCAACAGGGAGCAAGGCCGGGATTGATGACATCGGCCCTTCGGAGCGGCGGACAGAACGGTACAGAGTATTTTTCATAGTAATGCTACGAACTTGGGGAAACGATAGGTACAAAGTACCATCTTTACTATTGAGGAAAGAAGAAAACTCGGAGGATTAGGAGTAATCTTAAATTC